ATTTCAAATACTTATTTTTATTTTGAATACATCATAGTATTTTTTCAAAGTTCAGGATAAAAACTTGAACTTTCAAATAAATTGCATTTTTTTGAATGATCAAAACTTATGACCCTGAAATAGCTCTCCATACAATGGCACCACATTTTTACAAACCAGCCTTTGAAGTAGATTCAAATCCAAAAAGTGAATGTTGAGTCATAATGTTATTGTTTTTTGTCTTTTGCATGTACATTTTTGCAAATGAATAAACTGTAATAAATATATCCTGACTGATTTTCTTATTCTTTGTCTTATTTTGCTTTCTGTCAGGCGCCGCTCCCTCTTCAGGCGTTTTGCCATGCAGCCCTCTCCTCTGCTGCACACAAGCCGCAGTTTCACCTCCCTCAACCACTCTCTGTCATCTGGTGAGAGTCTCCCTGGCTCCCCCACCCACAGTCTCTCCCCCCGTTCCCCTAGTGCCATCTTCCGCCCCACACCAGACTTCCCCCAGTCAGGTGGAGATGTTGTCTGAGAATTGTAGTGTTATTATGATTTCATTTATTATATGACTGATATTCCTTTTTTCTTCTTACAACTTCCAGGTGGCAACTCCTCCCAGAGCAGCTCTCCCAGCTCCAGCGCTCCGAACTCCCCCGCGGGGTCCGGGCACATCCGCCCCAGCACCCTCCACGGCCTTGGCCCCAAACTCCCGGTTCAAAGGCTTCGTCAGGGGCGCCGCAAGTCAGCCGGCAGTATCCCCCTTTCCCCTTTGGCTCGCACACCTTCACCTACACCTCAACCAACATCCCCTCAGCGCTCTCCCTCTCCCCTCCTCACTGGTCACCCTGTTGCCATTTCCAAATCAAACCAAGCCTTCCCAGCCAAGATACATTCCCCACCCACAATTGTACGACATATTGTGCGGCCAAAAAGTGCAGAGCCGCCTCGCTCTCCGCTGCTAAAACGTGTCCAGTCGGAGGAGAAGCTATCCCCATCTTACTCCGGAGATAAGAAGCATCTATGCCCCAGAAAACACAGCCTGGAGGTGACCCAAGAGGAGGTGCCGGATGAGGAGCTGAGGCCCGGGGAGAGGGATTACACCGTCCTGCAGAGTGTGGAGGAAACAGCCAGTGAGCCTCTGTCTAGCACCCGTGTTCGACCTGTGGAGCAGGGCTGCTTAAAGAGGCCCGCCGGCCGCAAAGTGGGTCGGCAGGAGTCTCTTGAAGAGCTCGACAAGGAGAAGCTGAAGTCCAAGATGGTTGCAAAGAGACAGGATTGGTCAGAAAGGAGGGAGTCTCTTCAGAAGCAGGACGCTCTGTGTGATTCTGACTCATCCCAGTGGTGCGGTGATGACAGGGAGGAGAGTTTTTTGGTCCGAGGCCACAACAAAACCCAGAGCAGCCCGGACTCTGGCCCTCTGGAGGTCAAAGCTGCTAGTACAACCTTAAAAGATGTGCTGTATAAAAAACTCAACACACGTGTCTCTGAGGGCCACGCTGAAACATCCAACGGCTGTGGTGAAACTGACGGAGGACACAGATCAGCTCTCTGCTCGATTCACCCCGAGTGGCAGCATCCCAGGCAGGGTAAAGACAACATGAAGCCGGACAGACTGGACTTCAAAGCTCCCAACATGGAGTTCACCAGGAAGAGGCTGTCCTTTGAGGACAGAGAGGACTGCATGTGTCGGTTGTCCTCCGGCCTCCATGAGAACCTGCACTTTGGCTCCACCAGGTCCAAGAGCCTCCAGCTGGACACGGCCATGTGTCATGAACACATGAAGGCGGGACTAGGAAGCGTCCACTCAAGCCCTGAATGCCTGTCCCCTAAGCTTTTCTCCGGCAGAGGGGAGAGTGCCGTGGAAAAGCTCCAGCTCATCTCGGCAGAGTCTCCACTTCGAAAGACATCATCTGAATACAAACTTGAAGGACGCCACGTCTCCTCTCTCAAACCTCTGGAGGGCACTCTGGATATCGGGCTGCTCTCAGGGCCCAGAGCCTCAAAAACAGAAAACTGTTTATCCAAGATGGCGGAGAACTCAAGCGAGACTGTTTCTTTGAGTCCAATTTGGCTCCAGACCCCTGCAAAAAGACAAATCAAAGTCCCCCAACTGAAAACTAGTGATAAGCTCAAGAGCCCCCTGGCTTGTTCCACAAGTCCTGAAGCTGTTTCTTCTCTAAACAGCATAGTCGCCTCCAAAGATCAGTCAAAGAAGGCAGCCACAGACGTGAACATCAGTGCAAGTTGGGAGAAAACACAGGAAAGAAACAGTGAACCACTTAAGGCTCAAACCAGCAAAATGGAGGCCTCAAATTTTCCTTTTAAACCAGAGAGCAAGACAGGTATGAAGTCCAGTTTGCCGCCTCATGAACACAGAGGCCCTCGACACAGCTCCCACTTCTCCTCCTGTGGAAAAACACCCTCCATACGGGAAGTCAGCAATGAAGATCAGGAGGATGAAGCAGAGCAGGAAGAAGTCACACCACACACTACATCACAACACACCGACAGCTCCAGGACACTGCTCCCTTTGACTTCAGCAAAGCCGGAGGAAGACATAAAAACTGTGGAGACTCCGGCCAGTGAACCGTTACCCATGTCGCTGAAGCAGAGTATAAACTGTGGTTTGGATACAGGTCAGCGTCAGAGCTCAAACATGACCTCTGCGTCTGAGGTGAATGTACTGAACAGCTCTCGCCTCCCAGAGAATGTGCTTTCACAACGGCAGCCATTGAACATCTGCTTTTCAAATAGAGAAGCGCAGGTTTCTATCACAACATCTGGTTCTGTGAAGGACGATAAAACGTGCAGTTCTAAATCAGAAGGTCAGGACTGCAAGGGAAGATCTGTGAGCCAGGACGGTGTCCAATATAACAGATCAGCTGTTAAAGAGCTTGGGGAAAAAGGCTCTTCGGGTTTGAGTAAGGTCAACACATGCGTTGGAGTTGCAAAAGTGGAGGTAATCCCAAAAGTGGAGCAGAAGAGAGAAGTTAGTACAGTAAAGGCGGTCCCCTTATTAAATAATGTTACAAAGAGTGTTAATGCTGTAGAGAGTAGTAGCATGTTGCTGCAGAAAAAAGAGAATCCCATTTCACCAAAGAATAAAGGCAATGTGAAAGATTTAGAACCACCATCCAAAAGCTGTCTGGCTGAAAGAGCACAACACAAATCATCAGATTCAGAAAACTGCACCTCTAAAAAAGAAGAAACGGTTATCAGTGTAAAAGAAAACGCCACAAAACTAAAATACCCGGCAAATGAAAATGTTTTGATTCCCAAGAGTAAGTCCAGGCCTGACCCGCAGCCTGCACCGCACACCGCTGTGAAGACAGACACAAAAACACTGGAAGTGAAACATCACAGCACAGCCCCTCCTGCTCCAGCAGTCAGGGGCAGTCAAAACTCAAAACAGAGAGAATCTGCGTTCTCCACTTCAAACAATCAAGTAACTCATAAACAGAAAGAAGCCGCGGTGCCAAGCAAGCAGGAAGAATCGGTGCAGCTGTCTCCAACTGTTGTTGACGTGAAGCAAAAAGAAACCCAGCTCAAAAGCTCTGCAGCAAAAGAGATCTCAGAATCAAAGCCAAAATCTCCCCTTTCTAAAACTCTCCCTTCATTTTTAGCTCTAAAGACCTCCGTAGCTCCACCACCAGTTATTAAACAAAGTCTTGATGCCAAACACAAAGACCCCTCACCCAAAAAACAAGCTTCAGCCGTTAGACACCATCATGGCGCCAAACCAAAAGAAGTAGCTTCCCCTCTTTCTCAGCTCCCGTCAGAAGTTCCCTCCATGCCTGATCCCCCACCAGTGCTGCCCAAACCTGCAGTGAGGAAAGAAATGCTGATCAGTGGAGGCAGGGTCTCCATCTGTGTCCCCCAGGAAAGTGCCATCAAGGTATCAAGAGAAGGCCCCAAGTCTGAAACGCTCAAACCGGACAGTCCTAAGGGCCCGGATACCAGAAACACCACCCCTGAGAAACTGGGGCCCTCCAGCAAAAAGGAGCAGGCTGAGAGGAAGAAAAAAGAGACCGTTCAAGAGTCTGCGCAGAAAAACTCAAAAAGAGACGCATCCCGAGCTGCTGCCTCGGACAGAGACACAGGCAGGAAGCAGCAGAAGGAGTCGCCACGTAATTCTAATAACAAAAAATAAAAAGAGGGACGTTGAAATAGCAGCCGCTTCAGAAAATCTAGATGTAATACAAAGTTAGAAAGAGGTTTGTGCAAACATCATCATGCCTTCTTTTTTTTTTTTTTTTTTTTTGAGGACCGGGCAAGCTGTTACACGTGGATAGAGTGGTCGGTGTGTGTGTAATCAGTATGTCGGGGGCAGCAGGGAAGAGCCTTAGAAAGGTCGTACTGTAAAGTCAGTGCCATAAATGATTTTTGAATTGCACTCTTACTTCTAGACTCGGATGATCTGAGCTCTTTTAATGCAGTATACATGTACACACCATTTGCTCAGCAGTTGTATCACGATTGTTTCTGTTTGTATAATCCAAATCTTTTCATGTCTGGTTTTTGTGCAGTGGTACACAGAGGGGAATGCACTATATCCTGTGCTTTTCACTTAAAAAAATACAGAATCACCTCTTGGTTCTAGAAATGATAGATTAGTGAAGAGGCCTTAAAATGATGGGAAATAAAAAACTTGCTGTTCTTAGCAAGGTGTGGTGTTAATTCACATTCCTCTGACGTGTGTACATATATTTTTGATTTGTATGCAATATGATGTAGATATGATAACACTGTAAAACTGGGATTCATGGGCTTAACATGATTGTCGTTTGTATTATATGTATAGATTTTGCTGTGTCATTTGTTTGTATGCTCGATAACTCTTTGGTCTAAAGTAAGCTACTGTGATGTATCTTGTCAAAGGCATCCTTTTCTCTGTGACATGTTTCCACATGTTCCAAAATTAACTTGAGGATAGAGAAGAAAAGTCATGAGGGGGTTACTGAGCTATTTCTAAAAATGTAGCATTATAAAAGAAAACTGTGAGGGCTGTCAGCTTTTCCCAAGAATGTCTTTAATGTTGATGAAGTGTTTGCTGGCTGACTAAGGTTTAAAACGTGTACAAATATGGAACATTGTGTTTGATTAATGAGATTATCCAGATATTCTGTTTGCCAATCATTACTGCAGTAGGTATCTGAAGGCGGTGGGCTTCAGCGGAGTGACATTAAGATAACTCTTGAGTCAGACACCAGTTCACACACAGAGCTTCAGCGTCAGGGTATCACAGGATGTCAGTGTCCCGTTTCAGCCTCAGTGTTGTTAAAGTAGTGTGAGTGTTTTGGTGTTTCAAAGGACTCTATAATGAGCAGCATCTGGCTTCACCTAGGTAACGGTATCATAAGAGGAATCCTGATTATTGCATAGTTCATGTCCACAACAGTCATTTGATGTTAAATACTTGGTACTTTGATACATACAGTACAGGCTGTCGTTTATTCACAATCACTTTCTTACATTTACATACACACCTAAACACTTTTTTATACTTTAGACGTCTTTCAATTCTAAACATTAAATAAGAATATAAAGGTAACCTAGGAGACTAAAGTGTGTAATGCATTACTTGCTCTGTTGTACAGGCTATGTACATTTAATTATCCTCTCTACTTCAAATACTACGAGTCAAACATGTCACAGAATATAGTTTATGTACTCCACTGAATCCCAGAGTTAACCTGAAACACGAGAGATTGGTTGACGAGATTTTAATGTTAAACGGGTCTGATGCTACGTGCATTAGATATTGTTTATGTATTTCTCATGTGATGTGAGAGAACAAATGCACCTTAATGTTTGCCAATATTCAGTTCAAAGGGTGAGACACAAAGTGAAATTAGAGCTGAACATGGTTTATGAATTCCCCTCTCGTCCTCACTTCAGATTTAAAATAAATCACTGAATTTTATTTGTTTCTTCCCCCACTCTTTTTCCTGTGACGACTGACATTAAAACCCTCAAAGCACATTCAATGTTTGTTTACAAAGCATCATGGATGTATATTTTGTATATTGTTGATTTGCCAAATGTGTGTTCTGTGTCAGAGATAATGTTGTCTATAGTAGTGTGAGACTTTGCTCCCCTGCCACCAGGATGTGTAATAAGAACATTTGTTTGTGCTGTAATCAATGTATTTTCATGTCAGGTTCTTCTCTTCTCTGCTTGTCTTTTCCGTTTCCTTTTTTTTTCTTTTCCCCTGTACTAGTATTAGATAAACTTGCTTACGATGGTTTGTCTTTTAGAAATATGTGCAATAAAAGTGTTTTGAGTTTTGTATTTTGCCCAAGGAAAGTTCTATGGATGTCATAGATGTTGTATATTAAAACAGATATTTATACTTCTAATGTTGCGTAATGCTGAAAATAAAATGGGAATTATACATTAATACTTTTAGTCCTCTTTTGATTCATGGTATGGTCGGAATAGGTACTTTTAAATATGGAGTTTTTTTAATCAAAAATAGCTAGTTGTTAACACGGAAAGATCAATGATACTAATGTTTTACATGGCCATTATGTCTGAATAAAATTCAATAATATTCTTCAAATGATGATGTTATTCCTCACTAATTCATTGGGAAAAAAATCTTTAACAGGGCCATCATTTATCAATTAAAACCCAATAATGTTCCTCAAGACCATGTTTAATTGATAAACACAGTTATTTGCTGATGTAACCGATTTTTAATCTCTGCAAAGGTTCATTTCAGGAAAATTATTTAAAAAACCTGTTAAAATAAAGTGTCACCAAAAGACAAAAGCACCCCATTGTCTCCAAGTGCTGTGGAACCAGACTTTAGATGTGGGTCTGAGTTTCAGACTCCTAGAAAATCCAGAGCACAAATATATTTGTCTTCAAAATGTCCCTTTTTTATAGAGCGAGATGTAAACCAAACCCTTGGTAGCAGTGTTTCCAACAGGGGGCAGTATCCTTCCATCTGTGTTCCTGCTCAATAGGACCTTATGCAACATCCATTAAGTAGACACAGAGGATGAATGTGGTGGGGTGTACGGAAATCTTCCCAAGATTAGAAGGAATCTGATAAAGCTGTGTACTATTTGTTATACAGATACTACTTCGGAACAGTAAAACAGAGTTCATTAATCTGCTCTATTGCAGTGTATTTTAAAGTTAAATATATTCTGCTGTGATATTATCCATGGGTAAAAATTGTATTCCTGAATTAATAATAATGTATGATAACATTACTGGTTTGTGCTGTTTAAACGATTACTTCCAAAAGCTTTGGTTTGATCAGAAAAGCCTCAGGGAAATATACTGAGCATTCAAAAAAGTACCTGTTGATGTTGTGTAACTGTCTATTCAAACATGATAACAGTGTTAATGATACAGATGGATCAGTGTCCACACAGAGTGATTACTAAGAGTAACATTAAATAGTGGAATGGATGGGGGGGGGGAAATCCTCTTAAAGCTTGGATAGAGTCATCTGCTGGGGGAGGGCTTTCTGTGCAGTAACAAGAAACTCTTACAGGGCGAAGAGAGAACATTGTGCTGACACATTTATTATCATTAATTGGCCGTGTGCTTGCTAGCACGGATGGAATTTCCTCCCCGCAAAAAAACATCTTCCTCATGTTTCACCGCAGCTGTAGTCCTATAGCTTTATAGCTGCAATGTACAACATGTTAACCATGCTTCTCTAATTTATGTACTGTACATCAAAATGTCAAATGTCAGTATTCCTAATACCTCCTTAGACTAACATAGTGGCAGGTGAAAATGTTAATACCACTTTTACATATGCCTTTGAAGCATGTTGATATATTCTATCACGTGTTACAAGGAAGGAAAATTCCACTCCTTTACTTTCACTTTATAAATAAAGCAATTAGTGTGTTATCGGAGAGATAATGGATTGTGAGGATAATCAAATGTATCTTCATTGTCCATCTGACTGCTTCCAGAGAGCAGAGGCTGGCTGCTTTGTGATCTGTTTAAGAAAGACTGATCAATACTAATGATGTGTACATTGTTATCTGTAGGGTGTGGAGTTAAAGGGGGGGTAGTGCATATGTGTACAAACACATACACATGTTCATTTTTTTTTTAAACACAACAGAGGAACAGAACATCCTGACATATTGCTCATGTTTAGAATGCAATCTTTACTATGTTCATCGTCATGGTGTAGCTGTAGCGTGTTAGCAAAAATTTGCTAAGTAAAAAGAACAAGACACTAGTACAGCTGAGGTTGATGGGAATGTCTTCAGCTGTGCAGGTGTCCTTCGACAAATTAAAATGATGCTAAATACAAAATTAAAAGTCCCCTATTATACTGTTTTTCGTCAATATATTGGGGGGGTTACCTTGCTTGCTGATTGGCTAATGGTTACACAAGCCAAAACATCGTTATGAAATCATAAAGTGGCCAAGATCTGGTCAGCTCATTTTCAGACAGGTTTTTATATTATTATTATTTTTATATAAGAGAACAAATCTTTTTTCCTGAAACTTTCAGAATCTCTTTACACAGACGGGACACATGTTTATGTATAAAAGACATGAAAAAGTGAATTTTGCATGATAGATCCCCTTTAAATATAAAAAAAATAATATTTGCACCAAATTTCAATTGACAATAAAAACGATTGTCAAGAGATTTGAGTGAAATAAGTGAAAACTTTCACCTTATGATGAAGCTAGATAAAAAGTCAGGGAAGCACTTCAGGTAGAAAAATAAGAAATTGCACGGTGTTGCTAGAGGAAAGGGTTCGGTGATCATAACAGTCAGAAGGTTTCTCCTCTTGGGACCATGAATGTCTGAACCAAATTTCATGACAATCTATATTGTTGATGATTTTTTTCAGTGAATAAGTTAGAGCCTTGACCTGCTGCTGACAGTGCTTGATAAAAAGTCAGGAAAGCACCAACGTTAGGATTCATCCTCTGAAAACCACGAATGTCTGTACCGAACTTCGTGGCAACACATCCAATTGTTGTTTAGAAATTGCACAAAAGTAAACATTTTAACAACACCATTTTGCTAAAGGTAAATGTTGGGATCATAACAGTCATAAAGTTCTTCCTCTGGGGACCATGAATGTCTCAACTGAATTTCATGACAAACAATGAAATCTTTAAAGATGTTATTTGAGAGATATGTAAAAAATGTTAACTAGTGTCAAGATGTTAAATTCCAGAACAAAAATAATACGTCACGGTGTTGCTAGACAAAGTAAGGCGATCACCAAAGAGAGTTGTAGTATGGGGACAATGATTGTCTGTTTTAAAATGTGTGCCAGTCCATGTTGCAGATGTGGACATGTTTGAACGTATAACTTACTATATGCTGGTGGCACTAAAAGGGAAAAGAAGGGGATCAAAGTAACAATCAAGAATCATCCTCAGGGTACAATGAACGACTATCACATTTCATGGCAATACATCCATTAGTTGTTAAAACATTTCACTAAAAGTAAAGCTGCCAATCAAACAGTTTTGTTGGAGGAAAAGTCAAACGATCATAAAAACGTGCAGGCTTCTCCCTCCATGAATGTGTGTACCAAATTTCCTAACAATCGACCCAGTACTTGTTGACATATTGCATTTCATTTTGGACCCACAATGTTGACAACATGTACTCCAGCTGCATTTCTCCTAAAACATCAGATTCATCCACTTTGTGTGTCTTTAAGGAGTGTGTGGTCTTTTAGAAGACAAGAGAGGAAAGTTAATTGTATAAATAAATAAGTAGAGATGTTGAAAACGTTGGTGGGAAGATTACTTGTTCCTTTAGACAAATGCAATCTGAGACACGGATAGATAAATCCACTTTGGCCTGTGTTAACTCTTATTGCTGGATTTCGTTCAAGTACACTCTGTGACTTGGGGTGCAGCCAAAGCTCAGCCCAGCTCTCATATCTCATGTTGCAACTAATGGCTTCTGGCCCAGCTCTGCTCAGCCACAGGCCCCGAACGCACACAGGGAGAGGGAGGCTCACTGTGGACAAAAGGGTTCAATCTGGTGTTAGCCATGTTTAAAACTTCTGCTTTAGTCTAATGCCTTCTGTTTTTCATTTTCTATTGCATCTACTCTGCAAGACTTTCTTTACAATGAGCTGGTATTTTCCCAGACATTCCACTTCACCATGGCTTGTCCTTAAAGCTGCTTTAAGACATGTAAGACAGAAGTTATAATTCAAGTCTTTCAGATGCTTTCTTTAGTATGAGGAACTGACCAGCAGTGAAAACATCCCTGATGATTATGCAACTGAAAACTGAGTTTCCCTCTCCGTGGGACTATAAAGTTAACCTTTATCTTGAACTTTACAAACTGCCGTATTTGCCCTGTAACTGGCCAGGAGATCATGTGACATATTCACTGTTGTAAAATGTTCCCCTGTGTTGACAAAGTCCTTTCAGCAAAGTCATACACACCTCGTAACATAACACACAAGTAAAAGTGTGTGTTTGTGGGTGGCGTCTGTTTGAGTGTGGGCGAGTACACAATATGGAGATTGTGGAATACCAATAACAGAATATTATTTGGAGAATTCGTGGAATTGCTCATGTTGCAACAATAAAAAACAGTGCACTGGAAATGGAACTCAAGCGGCCGTGATGAAATGCTCAGTTTGAAATAGAACCCCTGACATGAAAAGCTTCTTGAGAAACTCCTTGTGTGGCAAAAAAAACAAAGGGCAAGTTGATTAAAACCTTCTTCAATGTCTGTATAGTTACAGTGAAATGAGAGGATGATGATGGATGACTGCATGATATTGTGGTTATTGTGTGAGGCGGCTAAATGGTGGGTGTACTTAGGACCTGCGTATACACAGAATTTAGCTGTGTCATCAAACGCTCCTTCTCAAAGTGACTGCAGATCATTGTCAGTTTATATAATTTATATGCTTTGTGAATGTGCTTATGTAAGTTAAGATGTATTATTATAAAATGACTTCATTTAGGCCTATGAACAGGATGTAAATACTGCTGTTTGTTTTGGGGTGTGGACTCAAGGTGCTGCAGAAAAGAAGGAAAACAGGGTTACACAAAGATTTGGTCTAAAATCGAACTTAAAATTGAATTGTTTTGTAGCAGGATGAGAGTCCTAATCTCTTGTAAAGCATATTCTCCTCGTTTGGCTCTTGTGAGCATATCACCACCAGGGGGCACCCTATAAAAGGGGAGAGGTTTCTAGCTGGCTGTCTCTTGTTTGTTGGTACACAGACCCGCCCCACTTGCGTGTTTGCCGTGTTTGCTTCCGCCACCGGTGCAGGTATGTTGCAGTAGCATTGCTCGCTTCAGGAAAGGTTCTGCAATTTGCCAGCGTATTGATACTTACGGCCCGTCTACACTACAGGCATCAAAAAATCTTGAAGCTTGGCGATTTTTTGCGAGCAACGCGACCAACAACCAATCAC